ACCTAAACCACTTAAATTGTAAAATACTTAGAAGAAAACTAAGCCTTATAAATGCAAACAGAAAACAGGTACAAAAAGACAAGCTGCAGATCCGGAAGAGAGCTTTGCAATATATCTATCAGCCAATGAACAGTAAGAAAGAAATGATCAGAAACTAGGTTATGAAGCAATTTACAGATCTCAAATAAACATGAAAACTCTGACAACAGCAATCATCAAAGACATGCAAGCAAGCCCTGCCCTGGCTTCGTATACATGCTATGACAACATCTGTAGAAGCACTAATAGATCCAGTGCTAGACTGGGTATAGCAGCTGGGGTCCTCTAACACTTCCTCGGAGAAGAAATACCAACTCACCATTTTTAAAAATCAAATTAAGCATACACTTACAACCTGATCAAATCATTTCTATTGCAAGAGAAATCCAAGGTTTTGATTCACATAAAAACACACATGCAACCATTGTTGAATGTTGGGTAGAAATGTAACTGGCCAGCCCTGACTTTTAAATTTAATTTTTAATTTTTTTGAGACAGGATCTCTACTATGTATTCCTGAAACTATGATCCTGAAACTACTCTGTAGTCCATACTCATCTTGAACTCAGGATCCTCCTGCTGCAGCTCCCCAGTCCTGGGACAGTGGGCATATGCTGTGACATCAATGTTCTTGACTTGTTTTGAAATTAGAAACAAAATATTCAGTCTTTCAACATTAACTAGTGTGTTAGCCATACATTTCTATATATGCCTTTTACATGATTAAGGGGATTCCAATGTATTCCTACTCTGCTAATGGAGTAAACACTGTCAGGGGCTCTGTGCATTTACTGTGATGAGTATGGAGTTTTTTTGTGTGTGTGTATGCACGCACGAGTGCGCATGCACGCGCACGCGCACATGTGTAGGCCAGAGAACAACATTTGTTGTCTCCACAGTCACTCTTAACCTTGTTATCTTAGAGAGAGTCTCTCAGAGAACCTGGTGCTGAGTAGTTGGCTGAACTGGGTGGCCAGTGAGCTGAGCAGACCCACCTGACCTGTTGCTGACCATTGTGTGCTAGAGGCTCACGTTATCAACTTTATCAACTGTGCCATTTACCTAGCTCTAGTCCCTCCCTCCCCCTGGTAACCAACACTGGGTGAGTTTTAAGGGCTGATGCAGCCTGGTATTCTCCTGTGCTAATGAAAGTCCTTTGCAGCTATCAGGTTTCTAGCTATGTGGCTGGATGGGTCTGTGTATGTTTTCTCAGTCTTCTTCATCTTTGCTTATGGGAGATAATGTTCTTGGTCCTTTTGTGTCAGGGCCATGTTGTCCTCATGACTGGTCATTTGTGTGTAGCAGATCTGATTCACTACTCCAATATCAGACTGGATTGTCAGTGAAGCAGCTGGGGCTTGAGTTTTTTCTTCTTTGGCACTTCTTTGGCATTATTGTCTTTTCTTAAGAATTGGTTGACAGCAGATTAATATCTGATTGTTGATGTCTCCCTGGAGGACAGTAAGCAAGTTGTTCATTGTCTCTGAGCCTCAAGTTTTCTCACATCTATAAAATGGGTAAATTTGAAGACTAGTCATGTGCACATTCTACTGTAGTATACACTCTACTACACTACAAAGCTGTAGTAATCAAAGCAGCATGGTATTAGCAAAGAAGTAGTCAGATCAATGGAATGAATTTGAGAGTCTAAAAAGAATATACATCTAGATTTTGTGTATATACATCTAGATTTTGACCAAGGTGATAAGAATATATATCATAAAAGCAGAATTTGGAAAACATAGTCTTTTGAATATAGTTTAATTAGTTAACTAATTAATTAATGTTCTGGGAAAGCTTAATATACACCTGAAACAGATAAGACTCAAATGCTCTCTCTCAGCCTTTACAAAAACCAATGCAGAATGAATAAAAGATGTAAATGTAGAACAAATAGAAAAAGAAAACAGGAATGTTTGAAGACATTGGGATGTTCGGATAGGAACCTAAAGCACAGGAAACAGAGCAAAACCTGACGTGTGATTCCATCAAACTGAAAGGCCTCTGAAATCCCAGGAAATGATCCTAAGGCAGTGAGATGTCTGGAGAGTAGTTGCAAATAGGATAAGCATTGATGTATCACAGAGACAACGTCCAGAAAACATGGCTCACTCTCTACATCAATAGCAAAACCCAAACAACCCATGAAAAGTAGGTATTTTTGAAGGACATGCAGAAAAGAATAGCAGGTGTTTTTAAAAGGCCCAACACCACTAATCTGCAGAAGAATCCAAATTCAATCTCAAGGATATCATTTCACCCCAGTAAAGAATAACACTGATAAAAAAGATTAGAGGTAGTTTTGTACACCAACTTAAAATAAACAAGTGGCTACTCTCTCCCTGCTGAGGAGGGGAAGGGAGCAGGTGCTGGCCAGGAAAGGGAGGAAGGCAGCCCTGCTACAGAATGTAAACTAGCATGGTGATTATGGCAGACACTAAGGAAGCTCTCAGAGTGTTACACTACAATTGCCACATGATCTGGTCCAGCGATTTCACTCCCAGGCAAATGCTGTGTTCACAAGAGATAGCTGGACTCTCAGCTTATTGCAGCAGAGTTCAAATAGGTAAGAAATGGAGATAGCCAGGTGTCCATCAATTGACAGATACGTGGAGAATATAGCCTGGGTATACAGTTGAATATTATTGAGGTACACAACTAGAATCCTGTCTATCCCATGGCAACATGGATAGAAATAGATCATTTAGTGAAAAAAAAGCCTGGCACAGAAAATCAAGTGTCCCGAGGTTCGTTTGCACATGGCATATGTTGATCTTGTATAAACTGAGGAGAATAGTGTTAACCAGAGACCAAGGAGATGAGGAGAGAGAAGGACAGGAAAAGTAAGCCTGCTCTTATGAACAGTACACTCAGAAGGCTAGAAGAAAAGATTTTAAATATATTTTCTATGAATAAATATGTTTAGCCCAATTTAAACATTATATAATGTTTACACACATCAAAGTACAACATTAGTCCTTGGATATTTTTAAAGTGTCAATGAAAAGCTCATTTAAATAACAAGAAAAATATAAATTCTTGATTTTAAAGAATGTGATATATAGATAGCAATATATCCATTGAGCTAGTATACTGTACCCTATAAACATGTGCAATTCTAAATTCATCCAAAATGTGCTACTGTAGGTCTGCTGTGTCTCCACTGATGGGGCTTCCATGGCAAAGTTCTGATTTAAACTCTCAGCATAAATGGGGTGGGTGGCTCATGTGCATTATCCCAACACGTGGGGGATGGAGGAGGTTCAGAAGTTCAAGGCCATCCTGAGCCACATAGTGAGTTTTACACCAGACTGAGAACATAAGATCCTGGGCCAGAAATGTGTTAAGTGAAAAACAACAAAATATTGGTCTCTGTGTCCAGCATGGCTTGTATCTATAAACCTGACTGGGGAGGCAAGGGGATGAAGAAGGCCAGACGCTAAAGAAGAAACAGACACACAGACACAGAACAGCATGGGTCTGATGGTCCCTGGGTACTCTGGAGTAGTGACACCCAGTTGTCTCCACCACACTGACCCCCTTGAACTGCTTATTGTGTGGATCTCAGAAGGAGGGGTTGGTCTTAGATAGAGATCTCAGTGGTGCAGCAGCCTGGGCTGTACATATCTGGAAGGAAGAAGCTGCAGTCACTGGTTTTTGTACACACTGGTCAATCGTTAGTAAACACTTGTATGCACTGTTAACATTTGCACTTGGCCCAGAGGGAGGCTTGAGAGTTTCCTATGGGACTAAGACATTGGTTGTTGCCCATGTCAACAATATACATTCATTCAAAACTTCATTTTTTTATACATTCACTTAAGGGCTCTTCAGGTGCCCATGACCAGATATTAAATACTGCACAGTGTGTGTGTGTGTGTGTGTGTGTGTGTGTGTGTGTATGTGAATATATAATTTAATACTGAATTATTTAATTTTTCTGTTGTATTTTTCTCCGCTATGCTATTTTAATCCCCCTCCTTTTTTTTTATAAATATGGTCAGTACCAATAGATGCTATTTAATTTCTGGCTCTCTGAGCTCCATGATTGTTGTTCAGGCTTACTTTACTTTTAATGCTTTTAATGTTTGCTTTCTTTCCATCCCCTTCCCTTTTCTTTTCTTCTCCTCCACCACTCTCTCATCCCTGACCATCCCTTTCTAACCTTTCTCTTCCTTTCTTTATTTCCTTCCTTAAGATAGGATCTCACTGTATAGCCCAGGCTGGCCTTGAACTCTTTACTGCCTTAGCTTCAGAATGCTGGGACTTCAAGGATCTAATCACCAGGGCCCAGATATATTTTAAAAAATGATCACTTAACTTGGATACCCATGGTTCATTAAAGAGGAGAATATATCACACTTAATAAAATTATCATTTCATAGTTTCAGTTGTCCATTTTGGTTGTTTTTATCTTCCTTTTTCTTCTTTTCCCTTCCCTTCCTTTTCTTCTCTTTTCTTTTTTTTTTTTTTTAGATAGTAGTGCACTGAGTATCACATGCTTTTCTGCTTCACTGATTGCTGGGGTCACAGGCTAAGCCATACACTTTGTTTTTTTTTGTTTGTTTGTTTTGTTTTTTGATTTGTTTTTTTTTTTCAGATGCAGCTTTGAAGGCAACTATATAGCAAAAAATGCTAGTCTTCCTATTTATTTGAGAACTCTAAAATAAAAAAAATTACAAGATCAACTGAAACTTCCATTTGCTTTAGTTAGCAAGACTTAATGTTAGGTTGTTTTAAGATGATAGACCTCATCATGTCAGGATACAAAGCACAGTAGTGTGTAGTGCATAGGAGCTATGGTTGGGTAGACAGAAGACATGGGAGGAGTATCTTGGGAAAATATACAGAGGAACAAGTGGTCTTCTGGGAAATGTGTTAGTTACTTTGTAAATGTCAGGCTAGAGATTGCTAGTCCTGGGGAAACACAGTAACACTTTACTCTGTTTTGTGAATTGTAGCTGACTTTGGCCTGGCAAAGCAAAAACAGGAAAGCAGTAAGCTCACGTCTGTGGTGGGAACGATCCTCTATTCTTGGTAAGGATGATTGTTTTATGGCTTTCAAGCGACACACTTGATGATTTTGCTTTTTGTCATTATTCTTGACTTGCAAAGAAGATAGAATTAAAAAAGGAAGTGTATTTAGTAAGTTTTGTGTTCCTAGGTAGTTCACATGAAAATAATTATGTATCCGTATGTATTTAGAGCAACAACTACAGGAGTAGTTGTTATAACTTATCTCTATCCATTCTGGGGCTATCTTCTCTAATTTCTGATTGAAATGGTCATGAACACATAAATCTGCAGATGCAGGAGGGCAGGAGTGGCCCACATAATGCCTGGGGCAGCTTATCCCCTGACTTGCGTGCAGTAACTTGGTACTGTCCTACCTGGGGCAGGATTTCTATGTCTTCTTACCTGCCCTGTAGCTGGACAGTGACAAAGCCTGGATCAATGCTGTTGCATCTTGAGTAGATGATGAGGCAGTTGCTTTGACCCCTGTCCCAAAGGCTGGATAGGTAAGTGAATGTTCTGTGACTTATGGTGAGCACTGTGAAGGTTCCTTTGACAGCTGTTTTCACAACGTGAGACTGTTATGTGGCTTGTCACATGGCCTCTATCTGTGTGAACATGCAAGAGAGTAAGATGACATATTCTCAGAGAAACTTTCTGAACTCTCACTTAACAATCAACCAACCAAGAAGCTACAATCCTCCTGCATCTAGCCAACGGCTATAAATGGAATCCTAGGAAGAGAGCTAAAAATGACCTTAAGGATGGTGCAAACTTATCTGGAAACAATAATGCTGCTTTGCCAAGTCCCTTCATGAAGCATTCAGAAAAATGTTTGCAGAGGATTGGCTTCTATTTATCTTATGAGAACTGTGCTGCTTTGCTTTGGAAACTCACTGGCGAGACGATGAATAGACACTGCTGATCTTCCCAGCACTTCTTAAACACTGGGGCTGATCTTCATACGTAAGTTCTTAAGCACAGGGTGGCCTACTCGGAACTCAATCCTGGGATAATTTTGTCATAAAACATTAATTATTCATGCATTCAATCTCAGCAGATCTCACTCCCAAAAGTGCATGACAATGAGATACAGAGTTAAATTTCAGTTACTCATTATTTGATATTACATTTTTATTGTCAAGAGTAGGGACTAAATTTAGAGTGCTAATGTAATAGTACTAGGCTTTTAGTTAGTGTAAAAATGCTAGATTTCATTATGACACATGCACATATGTATATGCATATATGTATATGTGTGTGTATGTGTATGAGTATATACATATGTATATACATGTGTGTTATATGTATTATCTTACTTTGCTCAGATTTGCCCCAACTATCCTGCTCATCCATCTCCTGCTAGTTTCCTTCATTCCCTAAATTATGCCCATGTCTTCATGTTATGTATGTGTAAATATTTATGAATATAGAATTAAATTTAGATTCTGCATATGAGAGAAAACACTTGTCTTTTTACCCTCTCTTGTCATTCCTCTACTCTCATTAGACTCCTCCTCATCTCCTAGTCCCCCTTCTACTTTTATGCCATTAATTAATTAATTCATTCATTCATTTATTCATTCACTCATTCATTCAAACCTAGAATCTACATATGAGAGAAAACATAAGCTTAGTTATCTTTCTAAGGCTGACTTGTAATGTTCTCCAGTTCCATTGGTTTTCTTGCTGATAATGTCACAATTTAATTCTATTTCACAGTGGATTAAAATACACACACACACACACACACACACACACACACACACACACTCCACTGTTTTTTCTTTACCAATTTATCTGTTGACAAACATGTAGGCTTATTCCATATCTTGGCTATTGTGATCCATTCAACCATACAGTTGGACTTGCAAGTAACTCAGTGATTTCTCAAATTATTCTTTCCGATGTTTTTTTTTTTAATGTGTATAAGTGTCTGCTTGCAAGTTATGTAGACATACCATGTGTGTCTGATGCCTGCAGAGCCCAGAAGAGTTGTTATGCTCTACCATGTGGGTGCTGGGAACAAAACCTAGGTGCTTAGAAAAAACAACAAATACTCTTAACTGCTGAGTCATCTCTTCAGCCCCTGGACAGTGTTTTAAAGTGTTCATTGTACAAGTCTTTTACCTTCTTTGTCAGGTCTATTCGTTGATATTTTATTATTATTTTGAAGCTATTATGAATGGATTTTTTTCCTGATTTGCTACCTGGCATGTTCATTATTGGCATATAGAAAAGTTAGTGATTTTTGTATTTTGTATTTATGTCTTGGCATTTGCTAAAAGTATTTATCTCTTTATAGTTTTTATTGTCATATGCTAATTATACATAAATATGGATTTCACTCTGACATTGATATATATATTCAATCCCCTTCAATCCTCTTTCTTGTCCTTCCATCTGTGGACTCTCTTCTTCCCAATTCATCACTTTTCTGCTTTTATGTCCCTTTCTGTGATTCATGAGCTGAGGGTTGTGCACAGGAGCACAGACCACCTACCAGTGGCTACCAATGCGTCTCCCTCCCTTAGCAACTGTGACATGCGTTCTCAGGGAGCATGTGAGCCCCTCTCTCCTAGCAAACACTACTTGACTATAAATCCTCAGGGAGGTGTGTGCCTCATAATTATAAATGAGGGTTAGAGCCACGTGCTTATAAGAAAATGCTGTGAGGCATTTTCCATTGGCATTCTTCTCCCAACCCTTCTCTGTTTCTTCAGATCTTCAAAGCACAGATCTCTGGAACCCGTCTCATTCAGATAGTTTTGGGACTGGCTTTCTGTCTTCATTCTGGTCTCTGCTCAGTTGCTACTTCCATCCACAGTTTTCCAATGATCACCAGTGTCACTTGTAGATCGGATTCCCACATCCTGTCTTTCTCTGAGACACGTTGTATTATACAGGTGGTCCCCAGTGTGTGGCCTTTTAACTTCCGACAAGACAGAATTGGCACACATCCAATGGGAACTGTATTTTGAATTTTTTCCTTTCCTGGGCTACTAATATGCTGTAAGACACCTTTGAGATGTTGAGTGGAAGCTTAAGGCTGCCTTAGTTTTTGGGAAGCCACACAGTTGGAGCCAATACTTTACACAGTACCATTTATTTAAGCTTTGACGTGCATAGGTAAGGTGTGATATGCATCTTTGACTTAAAATCTTTTCAACTTACAAGGGAGTATGGGGTGGGATCATACCATAGATGAGGAGCCCCATTTTGGCTGTCTGGTCATGAACCTGCCCCCCATGTGTCCCCAAGTCCTACTGTGGGACTGACAGGATTTTAGTAAATATTTCCAAGTCAAGTGAACTAGGTTAAGTGAGAGCAAGCCATTCCTTATGACTGGATGAGAGGTTAGTGTGCTAATTAAGTGGCTTCTTGAGACTTGCCACACTTGGGCTCCATGAAACCTGAAGTGACCACTGTTAGTCTAAGGGTGTCACCCCCTTGAAGACAAGGCCTGTGTTACTTTATTTTATTGATTCATTTATTTTATGTTTATAGTTTCCACAGTTACATGGATAGCAAATAGTGGAACTGAGTACATTAACAATAAAGCATGGGAGACTTGGAATTATTGTAATGATCTTCTATAGTTGGTACTTAATTCTGAGGGAAATTGCAAGGGAGGTGCCTGCAAAATAAGGGTATAGTACTGATGCAGGTGAGTGGCTGGCTGAAGGATGCTTGTGGGTCTCCCTTTCTTCTGGGGGTCATTTTCTACTGGCCCTCAAGGACAGAGAGAGCAGAACCAGTGAACAAGGTGTGGACAGCTGTGTGTTTGATGGAAAGACTTCTAGAGACATCGTCAGTGAGACGATTGTACTTTAGTGTTTCAGGGGGAGGGTATGTATGGACTTTTGAGGTATGGTTGGTCATGACACAGTACCTAGCTATCATATGGGCAGGAAAGGCTGAGTGCTCATAACACAGTACCTAATTGTCATACAGTCAGAAGGGCTGAGCAGGATTTATATGCTAGATCATGACACACTTGGAGGAAGCTCTGTGCAGGGTCATCCTCCAGATAAGGTCAGGCACCTGTGCTTAGAGACACTCCCCAGATAAAGTCAGAGGAGCAGGGCAAGCACCACTGAGAAAAGAAGTCTTCCATTTCACACCAAGCTTAGAGAGCCATTTGGGCATGGTGGACTGCTATGTTAATAGCAGGGTCGTCCAATAGGTGCTCAGACTAGAATTAGACTATCTGGCTTTAAATTGAACCTCATAACGCTGGCCTCAGTTTCTTTGTCTACTGTCTGGGTATAATAACATCATAGGCCATCTCTTTGGACTGTTGTAAAGTCAAATGCGACATTCATGTCTTGTGTCTGGAAACCATCCATTAAGAGCTTGCTGACACAGAATCATTGTTAATGACTTGTGCTTAGCCCACACCTAGGAAGGGAGGTGCTCATGGGAATAAACAGAACAGATGGCTCCAGGAGTCATTTGCTTTCTCATCATTAGAGTGGAGGGACTTTATCTAAGCTGGGTTTGTAGCTCCTTTCCTCTCCCCCATCTCTGATTTTGGTCCCTTGGTAGTAGCTGCTTTAGGATTTTTATGACAACCAGACCAAGGAGCTGAGAGTTCCAAGAAGAAATGAAGCTGTCCTTAGTGTGCAAAGACAGAAACCTGTAGGGCAGAACTGTGGTCTCTGATATGACTCTTTGTGGCAGGATAAGATTACCTGAACAATGTCAGCTATCTCTGGCCCTTGAGCTCTCCCAATCTCTTGGAAATCCATAAACACGAACACACAAACACACAACTCATGTACACATACATGTACATAAATATGCACACACATGTACACATAGATGTGCACATGCACACACACTCTGGAATGAGGGAGGAAAGAGAAACAGAGGGGGGCTTTATTATCTCCTCATGTTAGATAGCAGAGGGGTTTGAGACAGCTCAGAGTTTACTTGCATTAATTGTACTTAAATTCTAAGTACATCTTGAAGACTCAGTAGAATATGTCACTTGGTCTCCTGGATTCAGCTAGGATCTGCTA